TCAGAATTATTTATTTTTTCGATCTAAATATAGAAATAATATCTACTCTATATAAAAATAACAATTATTTAATTTTATTGAAATTTTTATTATTTGATTAATATATTTTATGTGATATCTTAAATAGCAATAAAAACTACACCACATAGTTATTCTAGGGTACCTTCATCTACTTCTAGAATTATAGGCTCTGGATTCGAATCTATGGTGCGCTATTGATAAAGTAAATTTCTCCATAGGCCCCAAAAAAATTGACAACCCAGGAATTATAGGGTAATTGTTTCCAAAATTCGCTATTTCCATTATAATATGCAATCAAGTGTACAATCCCATTAAATACATTATACAATTTTGAAATTCAATATCATTTCTTGAAATTTGCAAATTATACACACAGCTGCAAGTCATTGAGCTTATAATATGTGGATAAAAATGATTAATTAAGCATTTTACCGAATTCATATTGTAAGAGCAATCTTTATTTTTACGAATATGCCGCCCCCTCCTCCTCCTCAAAATTATTCTTGCATTAAGGATACCCTTACATTGCGTAGTTAGAAAGAGAATATGATATTGTCATGATTGCTAAAGTTTTAGGCTCCAGAAATGAATATACATCAAACTGAAACAATTGATAAATTGAATGAACTTTTGAGAGGTTCTCAAATAAAAAAAATTATCTAATTTTTTACAATATTACTATTATTTTATCCACATATGTATATATAGTAATTTGAGAAAACTTTTAGGAAAAAATAAGTTTAATAAAAATCTGAATTTTACTTGTTGTGGGATTGTTATTAATTGACACTCCAGACGTATTACTAATAGTTATGCGTATGCAATTAAAGTATTTCTGATGGACAAAATGTGAGATTTATATCAGATAATTCATTTCTACTATTAAGTTATTCATTTATGAGTTTGCACTTATTCGCACTAAATAAATAACTATTAAAAATTGTTTTAATTAATTGACACCATATAATAGAGTGAATTTTGTTTGATCAAACAACAATAGATGATAGATATAAAGCCAAGAAACTTGCTATTAATATGCTCTACTTGCTATTTCAATGTAAGTATGATATTTTCTAAATGTTTCGTTCAGATAACTTAGATATATTAGTCAAAATTTGAAATTTTAATAGCACATATATTAAAAAAATTATTATTCATAAAAGATTAATGAAATAGTAAAAAAAATCAATCAAATTATAAAAATACAACATTTAGAAGAATTCTTATTATCCTTCAAAAAGTCAGTATTTCTGCTGTAATTTTCTACAACATTGTAGTTATTGCACTTTGTCTATGGATTTGTATATATGTTATATATAAATTATATATCTAAACTGCCCATAAGTGCAATTTTTATATAAATTGTTTATTTCTTTAACAATTTCATATGAAATATGCTTTTTTAAGCGTATCAAAGCTGTGTTCTTAATGTGCATGGATATATCAAGAAAAATGTCGAAAAAAAATGTGAATTCACAAATTCACTGAATTTTCACCGTTTTTTGAATTTTGCTACAGCACTAATATTAAATAATACTAAAATCTTCTGTCTTTGTAAAAGAATAAATTCTGACAAAAAGTGCTCGTTTAAATTTAATGATCATCTGTATGACTAAGTGGTAAAAAGTGTTTATGACCAAAAAGGGTTACATGCTTAGTCTATTTTTCTGACAGGATACTCTAGATTTACATGATCTCTATTTCATATCTCCGTTTTTAGATTCTTCGACAGATTTTATGATAGAAAACCAAGATTAACAAATTTCCGGCATGTTAATGAAGAAATCTGCAGCTACCCTCAATATTATTTCAATAATCAGTATCGTTTCTCTTACAATTTATTTTTTTTCTCAATAATTTAACAAGAATAACAATACACACTTGGTTTTACGTATAAAAGCTAAGTGTCGAACTTAATCAACTTTACTTACTTAGCAAATGAATATTTTTGTGGTTGCGAGTTCTGAATGCTGAAGTTTTAGATTTCTCTATAAATGATATCATTGCACTTACAATGTTGTTCCAGCCTATCGCATAAATCATAGAAAATCCAAAAAAAAAATAATATAAAGAAAATTCATGTCATGAAGTTCAAAAAATACCGTGTAACATTAAAATTTGTTATGCATAATACATTTTAGCTATTATTGATTTTTTTTTAATTTTCGAGAAATTGAATGGTGAGTCCGATAGAGAAATTTTTAAAAATCCTAGTGCCTCATAGAAGTAATTTCCCTCGTCTCCCATACTTCCAAATGTATGCATATGACATAAACTTTTATGCATTACACAAGTGGCCAATAATATCTATAGAGTAAAAAATTAGAAATTTAATTTTTTATATGATAGTTATATTTCAGATTTGCGAGCGTAACTTTTTTCTCCATGGCATACTTGTTTTAAGAGCAAATGATCAAAATCGTCCTTCAATTATTGAAGGAGCTGATATCTTTTGAAAATTGAATTGAAAGGGTATTCAATTTTCAAATTTCCTCTCAATTTTGGAAACATATCAACTCTATGAATTAACAATTATGTGCCTTCACAGTTTATCAGTCATATAAGGTGCTTATAAAGAAAAAAGTTACGCTCGCAAAATATGTTTTTATATAGATTTCACATAAAATAATTATGTAATTTCTAAAAAGAATATTTTTGTTCTTGAATATTAAAGTGTATTGTAGTTTAAAAAGTTTTAAATATGTTGCTAAAATTTCAGGTTTATAGCTCATGTCTAGCATGACTTCTTCGTATGCGCAAAAAATCTGACACGTAAGGGTATCCTTAAAAAAAAATTCAGATTATCAAAAAAATTATTTATATAATATATAAACATAATGTATTAGATCTTATTTACGGAAGTCAATTTGGAAAATTGTTTTCACTTTAGGAGAATATAATTTTCCATTTGGAAAATTTAAAAAGTGAGACGCGCAGGATTCGAACTTTTTTAAAAGTTGATTTAAATGAATTTTAGTGTGGAATATAAGGATAATATCATATTTAAAATAAGAATATACTAGTTTAGGTGGTATTAATTTTTTCGATAAATTTGAGAGTATGTACGTTTAGGGCATGAAAAGTGTCAATTCGCTCAGCGAAAGCTGAGCTAGCTTCGTTCTCGAAAGAATAAGGAAGGAGTGAAGGAGAATGATACAGAAGTTGACACATTCATATCATTTCAACAAATTTTGATCAAATTGAAATTCAATAAAATTCAATTCACTTCATATCCTTCAGTCAGTACATTGATATCCTTCTGCATCACAATGATAACTCGGGCATCAATAGTTCTACAACTAACTCAGAAAAAACAAGATTATTACTTCCTGCTTACAGCTTTTAAAAAGTTTCGATGATAAAAATCACTCTACTCTCGTTTATCGACATATGGTGATAGTAGGTAAACATATTCTTATCGATATTAATAAAAATATTTGTACGAAAATCTTATCCAATTAGAGAGTTATTCATAAAGTATATGATAATTATAATTACTTTATCTTTGTTTTATCTTTGAATAAACAATTTAATTTAAATTGCATAATATTTTTTGGTTGAAAGACAGGAAAAGCTTAGAGTTTGTATTATTTTTATCGTTTAATTCATCGTATCAGTGAGTGATCCAGATATTTAAGATATTTAGAAAAAAAATTATTAATTTGATTAACAAATTTTAATCAAAATAGCAAAAATCTATTTGATAACTGTAAACAAACAATAATTTTTATTTCAAGCAAAATCACTTATTTTCATCTAAACGTATAAAATTGTCAATTTTATGAAAATAAATTGAAAATCTCATGAAATGTAAAGGAGAGTAATATTTTTCAATTTTCTTTTTTCTTTGTCTCAAATATTTTCTGTTGGGAATTTTCTTGTTATCAAAAAATAATTTTAATATTTGTTTATTTCATTACATACAATAAAATTTTAAAAACTCTATTTCTTCTCAAGAAAATTTTTTCCTTCATATGAAGAAACATTTTGTTCTCCATTTGATACTGAGTCTAAATCCCGATTTTTGAATTTTCTTCTTTCCAAATTTCTTTTTTCCAAATTAGAAGTTTAATTCAATTTTTCAATAGTTTATATATTTTCTCAAACCGTCTCAGATTTTCTCGCTTTTTAGGGATTTTCTCTCAAAATATACAAAAATAGTAATATCAATACATATGTCTAATATACTTTAAAACCATCGTGACAAAATTCAAAAACGAAGAGTTCTTCTCTCCAAATTTTTTTCAAAATCAAAAAAATGAGATAAAAAAGTACGTTTGGAAAATTCATTTTTAGCATTTTAGGAATTTTCTCACTTTTCTTCCAAATTGACATCCTTATCTTATTTGAAAAAAAAATCACCTTTCAGTTTTTTCTTGATGAGTGAAGGTCTTACTGTTAATTTTGATTATATTGCGAACAACATACAATCATACATCGAACAAGGCAACTTTTACGATATTCTTGAAAAAGAAGACATCGCCCAAGTTTTAGAAAAAACAAATCTAACCTCTAATAACTTCAATGATCTTCTTTCACAAGGTAAAACGAAATATAATTCATCTAAAATGTATGGATTTGTTCGTAAGTGTAACATTTCAGTTAATTCGTTCGAAGAGGTGATTAACGTTCTCAACAGTTACCAAAGTATTTTGAAACTTAAATCATCCGGAAACTTAATTGATTATTTAAATCAATACAAGACCGAATTTAATACAAATTCACAAGAAGTCACAAATTTACAAAACAAAATTCAAGATCTCGAAACAAAGATTATTAGTCTTGAAAACGAAAATAACAAATACAAAGATGAAATCAATCAACTTAAAAATGAAATCGCAACACTTAACAGCAAAAACAATCAATTACAACAATCAATCAATAAAATTGCGCAATATGCTGAATTACCTTTAAATTCTGATTTCAATACAGTTTACAAATTCCTTTACTAACTTTCAGAAAAAGGAGATCAATTGAAAATGGCAATTTCATGTGCATGTGGATTAAGTGAAAAGAAAGAAAATCAATACGGAAATACTGTACTTAATTGTGCATGTCTTTGTGGATATCTTAAATTAGCAAAATCTCTTATTGAAGGAGGTTGTGACAGAAATGCAGTTGATAATTATGGAAATAATTGCTTAATTAATGCATCAGGACATGGACTGATTGAAATTGTAAAATATTTAATCGGAGTTGGATTTGACAAAAATTGGCGAAGCAAAAATGATGGATTTAGTGCAATTAATGGTGCATCACATTATGGACATCTTGAAGTAGTTAAATATCTTGTTTCAGTTGGAGCTAATCCAAAAGAAAAAGATAATAATGGATTTTCTCCAATTCTTTATGCATCAAGATATGGTCATCTTGAAGTGGTGAAATATCTGAAAAGTATTGGTTGTGATGTAAACTCTAAACAAAAAGATAATGCAAATTGTATTTACTTTGCATCATTAAATGGGCATCTTGAAGTAGTTAAATATCTTGTTTCAGTTGGTGGCAATCCAAATGAAAAAGACAATAATGGAATTTCTCCAATTCATTGTGCATCACAAAATGGTCATCTTGATGTAGTTGAATATTTTATTTCGATTGGAGTTAATCCAGATACAAAATCAAATTATGGATGGTCGCCAATAATAATTGCATCAGCAAATGGTCATCTAGAATTAGTTAAATATCTGATTCAATGTGGATGTAATAAAAACGATAAAACGAGTGATTATGATACTCCACTTCATTATGCAGCAACGAAAGGACAATATGAAGTTGTTGAATATTTAGTTTCAATTTGTGCCAATCTTAGTGATAAAAACAAAGATGGAAAAACTCCACTTGATTATGCAAAGGAAAAGCAAAACGAAAATGAAAACTACAGGAAGATCATTAATCTTCTTGTTCAATCAGGCGCACAATAATTTTAATATTGACCATAATCTTTTGATATATTATATATTTTAAATATTTCAACTTTTTAAATATTAATTTTTTTTCCCTCTATATTTTGTCAACATCATTCTTCATTTGGTCGGCTGCAAAGATGATATAATGCAATTGAGGAAATAAGTTTATTTTTCTATAATTATCTTAAGAATCGTTATATAATTGATATTGTTCAAGTAAATACTGAATATTTGAAATATCTGATTGAATAGCTGAGATTTCAAGTTGTTTATGTTTCGCGTATTCTGAACTATTTCCTTGTCTCGAAACAATATTTTGTAGCTAAATATCTGTTTATCTGTTTATTTGTAACACGAATAGAAATGACCATACTATATGTTGTTATAAATGATTGGTTAATCATGTAATAGTATTTTCATTGTCAAATTGTTGTGAGTGATTTTTTTTAATGAAAATGCCACCACCTCCTCCTATGAATAATTTATCAATTATAAAATTCATATATGATATATAAACATAATATATTTAATCTTTATAAAAAAATCTTATTTTCAGTTTTTTCTTGATGAGTGAAGGTCTTACTGTTAATTTTGATTATATTGCGAACAACATACAATCATACATCGAACAAGGTAACATTTACGATATTCTTGATGAAAATGACATTGCAGAAGTTTTAGAAAAAACAAATCTAACCTCTAATAACTTCAATGATCTTCTTTCACAAGGTAAAACGAAATATAATTCATCTAAAATGTATGGATTTGTTCGTAAGTGTAACATTTCAGTTAATTCGTTCGAAGAGGTGATTAACGTTCTCAACAGTTACCAAAGTATTTTGAAACTTAAATCATCCGGAAACTTAATTGATTATTTAAATCAATACAAGACCGAATTTAATACAAATTCACAAGAAGTCACAAATTTACAAAACAAAATTCAAGATCTCGAAACAAAGATTATTAGTCTTGAAAACGAAAATAACAAATACAAAGATGAAATCAATCAACTCAAAAATGAAATCGCAACATTTAACAGCAAAAATAATAAACTACAACAATCAATCAATAAAATTGCGCAATGTGCTGGATTGCCATTAAATTCTGATTTCAATACAGTTTACAATTTCCTTCGAGGACTTTCAGATAAAGGAGATCAATTGAAAATGGCAATTTCATGTGCATGTGGATTAAGTGAAAAGAAAGAAAATCAATACGGAAATACTGTACTTAATTGTGCATGTCTTTGTGGATATCTTAAATTAGCAAAATCTCTTATTGAAGGAGGTTGTGACAGAAATGCAGTTGATAATTATGGAAATAATTGCTTAATTAATGCATCAGGACATGGACTGATTGAAATTGTAAGATATTTAATTGAAATTGGTAAAATTGACATGAATTATCAAAATCAAAAAGATGGAAATAATGCTATTCTTGTTGCATCAGAAAATGGTCATCTTGAAGTAGTTAAATATCTCAAATATAAGGGTTGTAATTTAGAATCTAAAAATTTAAATAATGCAAATTGTGTTTACAATGCAATAGCAAATGGACATCTTGAAACAGTTAAATATCTTGTATCAGTTGGAGCTAGTCCAAATGAACAAGATAACAATGGATATTCTCCAATTCAATTTGCATCGCAATTTGGTCATCTTGAAATCATTGAATATCTCTTTGATCGTAATGATGGTATTGATCCAAATATAAAATTAAAAGGTGTATGGTCTCCAATAATTATTGCATCATCATATGGTCATCTTGAAGTAGTTAAATATCTGATTACAAAAGGATATGATCTAAATGATAAAAACGATGATGGTGATTCTCCACTTCATTTTGCAGCCAAGAAAGGATATTTCGAAGTTGTTGAATTTTTAGTTTCAAAAGGTTCCAATCTTAATGATAAAGACAATGATGGAAAAACACCACTTGATTATGCAAAAGAAAGACAAACCGAAAATGAAAACTACGGAAAAATCATTACTCTTCTTGTTGACAGGATAAGCAAACAATCAGGCGCCAAATAATTTAAATATTCATTAGTTTTGCTTTTGTAAGAAATCAATTTTATCATCATTCTTCATTTTGTTTGGTCTTCAAAGATCTGTTAATGGTGCACTTTCTGACATGCCCACATAAAATATTGCAATATTATTATAAGGTACTTGGTAGTGATTTTAAAAAATAACGTTTTCCCCGCACAAAATTATTATCTTTTTTACATTATAAAATTTGGATAAAAACCTAGAGTGTAAAAAAATTGAGAGAATGTCAATATATTTCCGAAGCAAAAAAACACACTTTTTTATTATTAAAACAAAATAAAAAGATATATTAAAATCAATCGAAATCTTCGCCAAAAAGAAGTTGATCAATTCGTCGTTGTTCGGCTTCTTGACGACGTCGTTTAGCGTCATCATTCTTAACAACTTTCTTAAGTGTTGTTCGATACATAAGTGGTTTACCCATCCTCTTTTGGACTGTTCGATTTGCTCTTGCAAGTGCAGCTTCTTTCTTCTCTTGTGCTTGACGCTGAATCTCCTTTTGCTGCTCTATTCGTTGTTGATCACGTCGTTTCTTCTCCAGTTGTGCTTGTTTATCATTGTAATATTTCCGATTCAAGTCTTCTGATTGGCTGTACATAAGTTCCAGATCAGAATCAACCTTCTGGAGCATGTGCATAGCATTAAGTTTTGGATCTTCGCGGTATAGACGGAGATACATGTTCCGAACTAAGTTGCTTAGTCTGTTGATTTCGGAGTCGATAGTTCCAAGTTGGTTTTGAAGGTTCTGTTCTGATTTCTGGAAATCAATTAATGGATTACTTCGATCAATTTGAGATTCAAGAATATCAACTGCCTGTGATACATCTCTTATTGATGCAGCATAGTTTGCATTGTCTTTATCCAGTTGGTTTTGGAGGTTTTGATATTGATCAATCAAAAATAAGTTTTGTTTCTCGTATTTGTCAATTTCATCCATAAGCTTAGATGTGTCGTCGTAATAGTATTCGATTGGTCGATCTTTTGGTTTAAAGTCATTTAAGAAATCGTTGTATAATTGATATTGTTCAAGTAATTCTTCGTTTTTAGAAATTTCTGATTGGATAGCCGAGATATCGTGTTGTTTATGCTTCAACTTCTTCGTGAGTTCAACTCTATGTGAGTTTGCGTATTCTGTATTTTTTCTTTGTCTCGCAACCATATTTTCACTTTGTGATGAAATTAATTTATATTTTGTAGCTAAATCTGTTTGAGTTGCTTCTGTTTCATCGTATTCTTTCTCTGATGTAGACATTGTTTGATAAATTTTTCGGATTTCTTCATTTTTCGAATCGATAATTAACTGCATAAGATATGCTTCACGCTTTTGTTGGATAAACTCGGACATTCTTTTTGCTGATTCGTGTTTATGAGAAGTTTTAATTCCAGTCGGAGATCCAATTTGAGAAGGAACTCTAGTACGTGTTTGTGAGTTATGGCATGTTGGAATTGGCGATGTCATTCTTTCAGCGCGTTCTTTTAACGTTAAATTTTGTAACATTTCTCTTTTTGCTTTAACTCTAATTTCATCTGCTTCTTTTGATCCAAAAACATTGCACGGATCATCTAAACGAAATGGATTTCCAGGTCTCTCACCAAATGAGAGGCTTGAAAAAGACATTAAACGTATAAAATTTTTGATCGTTATTTCTAAAATCATTTCGAAAAAATATTTTAAAAATGATCATTAAATTAGACATTACTAATATTAATTATTTTTCGATTGAAAAATATATTTCTCCAAAAGGAAATTTCGACAAGCATGTCATGAAGCTCTTTGTCAGAATGAAATAAATAAAGTTTAATGATCTGTAGCGTGGATGTATATACTTGCAACAATTCTTTAGGTAAAAAAATCAAATTTGATATAATATAATTTCGGGCTTCAGTTGGCTAGGCTTGCCCTTCGGGCAAGCCCAGCCAACTTCAGCAAAATAAATATATTATGATTATAGGAAATGAGTTTATACAATTAAATTTGAATTTGTGCGATTAATATTATATTTCAAAGATTATGATGTAAAACATACAAGAGATTTTTATATCCATCGAAGTGGTTTAGGGAATACTTTGAGATTTTAGAGATTTTTCGAAAGAAATATTGAAAGCAAAGCATTTATTAAGAATTTGTTGTGAAATGAATACACTTCGATGAGATATTACATCAGTTTGTTACTTGGCAAAATTAGAGCTGAAGTCATGTTCATAAATGAAGAAAATGTCTTAGCTATAGTAAACGGTTGTAATGTATTTGAAACATTAATAGTCTTATTGTAATCTGATATCTATGCGATCATAGATATTTGTTGAGAAAGTATTTCGGAAATTATGTAATTTGTAAGGATATTGAGGAGCTCTAAAGTTAAAGATTAATTAGGCATGTGATGACAAAGAACTTGTTATAGACGAAAATCTAGAATTTTAGAATTTTCAAAATTCATCTGTAACCAAATGGGCATATTGTGAATCATTTAAGGTAGGATGGAACACCAATGATGCATTAGATCAATGTGCTACATTAGAAGTTTGTGCAGAAAGTCTGGTTAAGAAAAGATGAAAATGTGAAATGAAAAAACAATATTTCTCTCAATTTTTCAAAAACTCTTTGCCTATCGTTTGGGAAGCGGCGCTTCACGCCGCTAATTATATTTTGAGAACAACTTTGGTTGTTTGTTCGGCAAACTTATTTCAACGAATTACGATTTACAATCAGATGTAACATAATGACATCAGATTGATTTTGACTTTTGATAATAAATTATTATTAAATAATTTGAAAAGTTATTTTCTTCGCTATTTGATTGGCGCTTTGCGCCAATCAAATAGCTCAGATTAATAATATGATATTATTTTAAATATGATGAAAATTTTTGAGTGAAAACTATCAAAACTAAGTCTTAAAAAATAGATATTTAAAAATGGTTTTTGATTGTTACACTGCTTGTGAAAAAATGTCGATTAATCTTCTATATAAGGTAGTCACAAAATCTAAGTAGAAGGGCTTTGAAATATTGAGGGGATTTGAAATTTTGGCTCTCAAAATTTATCCTTCCTCACTACTCGAATTCCGAGCCTCTCAATGAGTTTCCTCTCAATTTTGAATGGTTTATATTGACTTTTGAATACCTTTATTGAGAACAAAAAAATAAATATATTATGATTCGTATAATATTGGCATTTTTCATAAAATGAAGGCCTAAAAAACAGTGCCATTCAAAAAATGAATTGTTTTGGGGAGTAGTGGATCTAGCATCTGTATAACAAATAATAAAGATTGGCCGTAAAAATTAGGCCTAATCTCTTTTTGGTAAAATTTTGGAAATTGATATCTCTTTATATTCGTCTGTCGTGAGGTACAGATAACAAGATGATGGAGTAAATGTTTTTGACATATTCACTTTTCACCATATTGGCCGAAATTAAGTATATTGTTGCTAATTTTTTGTTTTTTACCTTGTTTTTAGGGGCACTACTATTTATTCATCTTTGTATCATTTTTGTTGAGCTCATATTGAAAAACAATCAATGAAATCCATGTTTTCATTTGAAATCTGATAAAGTTAAACGTGCATATAAGTTTCTCGCTGATATCACTCAATTGCAAATTCATATATATATGCAATTCAAAAAAATGAGAAAAATTTCGGATTGTCCAAATTGAAGGATATAATTTTTTTTCTTTAGCCAATAAATCAATGTATTATATTGCATTCATTATCCAATGAGTAGTTACACATAATATTAGCATATAACACTCTTGCTGTTTACAAATACAAATTTTGATTTGATTATTTTGTTTAAAGCTATTCTATTTATAGTGATCTCTTATATAACATGTTGTATAAAATATTTATATTACTATTATTGTATTTCATGAATCTTTTTTCATTAATTTAATTTTATTGGAAAAATTTCAACTTTTCATTAATCTAAATTGACATCTGTCATGCTTCCTATTCTGTTACAACTATTAAAGCTTACATTTAAATTCGAATTCAAAATTTCAAATTTTTTTAAATTGATCAATACAATGATTTTAATAATATATATTTGTTTGTGCTTTTAAATTTCTTAAGCTTTCAAAATTTAAGAGAATTGATAACTTAATACAATATGATCTTAATGATATACTAATTAATAATTCGCAAAATGTAAAAAAGTCTTCTCAAAACTAAATTCAATGCCTTTCAATCGAGATTTTGAGGCAACTTTATATATATCATCTATCGGCGCGCTCCGCGCGCCGATAGATGAATGACAAAAAATTATTTGTCCCAATCTACTGTCAAATACAATATAAACCTGATGTTCATTTGAAGTATTTAGCAAATAACGTTTAATATTTCAAAAACAATAATAATTCTACAGATCAAAGTTCATTTGTGAAAATGGTCACACTATAATTCAAAGTGAATTTCATTGGCATATAATGAGTAATAGTAAGTTAATGTTTATGGGAAATTACATAAAACTTATGGGAGGTTCAATTCAAAATATGCAATTAATAATGATTATAGTGTTTTTGTTAAGAGTACTATCATTACACTACTTTACTAATATCTTTTGTCATGATCATCATTTGAAATAGAGAAGATAAAGATTTTATTGTGATTTGCTTTAAATTTAGAAGAACAGTTAATATTTTTCATAAATGGTAGTATGTCTGTGCTACTCCAAAGACAATGCAACGGTTATGAAGATTTCCTCGATTTTGTGAAAAATTTGAATACCATTGAATTTTGGAAAAATTATCACAATAAAATTTTCCCATGGATTTAAAATTTCTCTCTCATTTTATTGAATTTACTATTTATAGTTTTATGCTTCGAGTTTTTTCCATTTCAATTGATAAAATTATTGAAATCATTTTCAAACAAATCATCAAATCACTTAATAATAATGATATCAGATCAACCTTTCAAAAGATACAAGCCAGGGCGTAAGGTAAAGAGCATAAAAACGATGACATTAAACGAAGAAGTTCAAAGAAAGAAAGTTGAATTTGGAGATCGATTTTCAGAAATTGAAAAAGTATTCTATGGGATGGGCATAGAAGATCTGAAACGTTTGGCATATAAATTCATGGAGAAATACAAAATTCATTTAAGTTATTACTATTCCAGATCAAAAGACAAAATTCTTGTTTGGATGTGCGAGAACTGGGAAATAATTTCAAATGATGAAGACATAAAACAACATATCAAATCTAAATCAAAAGGATTTCTACTTGATACAACAAATGACAGTAAAAATAAGGAAAATCAAAATGACAATAGCTTGAATTCAATATGTGATTGGGATCAAGCCGATTATTTTGATTGTTATTATTTAATTGATTCTTGATTAATAAATCATGATTATTCACGCCTGTATATCTCTTTTTGTGATGGTGTTTGAAAGTAGGTGCGGACTTACCTTCATCTTTTTGAGAATGATACCTACAATTAATTACACTTTTTTGACTGCACAAACTATCGGCTCTAATCCGATAAAATACAATAATAATAAATAATCATAAAACAAGCATGCATAAGGGATGAACTAATATTATTTTTTGTTTTCTACTTCAAGATTTAAGATATAAGCATACCTAGAAGTTATCATACTATCTATTGCATGCGCAGCTTATTCGAGCTCTCATATTTGAGAATTTTCACTCACTCTCAGTGAAGATACCAATAGAAATGTAAACCATTCAAAAATGTTTGTCACTTTTTGACATTCTCTCAATTATTCTTCATTATAAAAAAAATGAATGATAGTATTATAATTTTATTAAACAACATTATATATCATTTTGCCAATCGTTTGTTCCCATCAATGCTTCAATTGCTGCAACAAAATAGTTTTTAGACATTGCAACAATGGGAGATAGCTGTAAATCATCCCATTTTATGGCAAATCTCGCAATAGCAGCACCGTTTACTGGTGGTGCAATTGACATATGCGCCATTAACAAAGTAAAAGTATCATCAAAGGACATTGACTTTCCTTTACTGAAGTATGTACCAAGTTGTTGAAGAACCGAGTGAACATAGTTCATCATGTCGATTGGGTTCGTCATAAATTCTAATGGTAGCAAAGAATTAATTCTTTTGCCTTTAAACATACTGGAAAGCGATAACCCTGGTGTATATCCTTCAATCACATCTTTTGAGAGCTTTAAGTCCCTAACTCTTTGTTTTGAATATTCTTCGCATTTTTCTTGGAAAATTTGGGACCATTGCTTGTCATATGATAAGATCTTATCATATGAATAAGCAACATCAAATAAATATCGAGATAAACCAAGGAAAATCAAAGTTCTTGGAATTCCTTCTCCTAATTCAAGTTGTTTGTAAACTTCAAGCGCGGTATTAGATATAGATTCGATTGCAACATCTGTCGGATCATTTGCAATGCTCTTAGCAGTTGGTTCAATCAAATTATTTAATGAAGATTGCTCTATGTAGTAAGTAAGAGCATGATCCATCTGATTTGGAGGTGAATATAATATTTCGTTATCAAAAGATCTGCTAGCTAAGATCATTTCGGTGGAAATAAACTTTTGATGATTCAAAGAAACAATTTTTCCCATTATTCCAGTAAATTTGACATATAGCCTCTTGTGCTTTTGCTTTAGTTCGACATATGAAGGTCTTGTCGATATGAATTTCAATATATGCGATGTAAATTGACTTACGTTAATAATCTAGGATCTTCACTGATAACTTGCGCTACTTCATCTGCGAGATCTAAAAGTTCTTTCATGGATTCTTGTTCATATGCCAAAACTTGTTTTTCTTTTTTCATCATTTTCTCCCTTAAATAAGCAATAAAAAAGTAGTAATGTTGTGATCTAGCAGATGAAATATCGTATGTCCTTGAATTTATTCTTTTTTCTTTATCAGTTAGCATGTTTGAATGTTTGACATGAAAATCTGTTAATTTCTGAATCATTGTTGCCTGCCTGTCTGCATCCTTATCTCCTATACCACCAAATATTTGGAAATATTTCAGAATTTGAGGATGGTTGGCCAAAACTTCTTCAAGCATAAAAAAAAATACTAAAAAAAATGTGAAACCGACCAACTACTTACAGTAGCATTCAAATTTCATTCCTTAGATAAGTATCATTTTGTCAAGTTTTTCATTAAGATAAAATTTCAGGATTTGCAAATGTTCCTATTTTCATTCAAAAAACATAGTCATGGGTTTTATTACAGCATATTATCGAATTTTTCATATAGTATATTAGTTAATTGTTTAATGATGAGGGGTTTATAAATGAAAAAATGGAAATATTCATGAGCTGAATTGAATATTTAATGTATTATGAGCAGGTATTCTATTCCTATTGTGTTTGTGCGTTCAAAACATGGATATATCTGTTAAAAATTAGAAAATAATATATATTTAAATAAATAGAAAAAGTTAATGTATTAAAGGTGTAATATATGCAGTGGTGTTTTCTGCTTTTCGCCTCTTTCTTAAGAACATAGCAAATGCGACAAATAATGAGACTATTATTGATCCAACAGCCGAAATAATTAAAAACTGAGTTCCGCTGTGGAGTTGTGAGATTGTTCTTGTTGGAACAAATGGAGATGGGGTAGGAGATGTTGGTTCAACCATTCTCAAATAGATATCTGTTGAGAAATAGTTGTTGTATTCTTCGTCGTAAACTGAGGAAATGGAGAAAATGCAGTCTTCGCAGTTAACTTCTGGTACATCTACATTTGTGTCTCCAGATTCATCGAGATACTTTGTAAGAAGGTGCTTATCTTTATTATTATCGTATATATTGATGATTACCTTTTGGTAAATGCCGGATGGCTTCGGTCTTGTGAGATTTCTGTTCCATATCACGAACAATGGATTTTCTTTGATGATCGCGTGCGGCTTTGGCTTAAACAATGTCACATCATGATGGTTGGTGAGCTTGAAATCATGAGAAACCTGGAAAATTGTATTTTCATATCTAAATGAAAGTCCGTAATCGCCTGATTTATAGATACATGGGACGTTAATAGACAAATTTGATGGTTTGTAAGATGTATAATGAGATCCGATCAGTACATGACTAGAATCTTTCTTATTAACTAAATATAAAGGAACTGGAATATCCTGGTAGTTTTCTGTAAATGTAGATAAGTTAATATTCGTGAGTTTGTCACATTCAAAATCTGAAGGCATTTTAATCCAAGATGTTGAATTTAATTGGGCATATTTCAATTCACTTTCTTTTCCAACAACTTTTGTAAATGTTGGTATCTTAACTGACTCAAATCCGTAGATAATAAGCTTGGAATCGTACAATGTGACCTCAGGATAGTAATTACTGTATTTTATGAAGACTTTCCATGTTCCAGCTGCTTTTTCACCGAGGAAACATCTAATTCCTATTGTCATCTTTGATTTAATTGACTGTTTTACGTTAATAATAAAATCATCCGAATCTTCTTGGAAAATTGAAGGATAAAGGACAGTAAACCTTGATCCCTGTGGAGATTGCACTTCTATCTTCGCCATGTTCAGGTCAACATTCGAAGTATTTATCTGTAATTCGACATAAGAAACAAAATTAATGTTTGAACTTATGGAAAAGTCAATTTCGGTTGGGGAATTAGAACCGTAACTTATGTAATTTCCTTTTGAATTTGTAAATGACTTTTCTGAGGTGGATGGTGTCAATTTATTGGTCCATTGCTTGGCAACGTCAACAGCAAGGGCTGCATTGGCTCTTCCGAAGCCAAGTTGTGGATGGTAGTAGTTTCCGGCGGCATTTTGTTTCCATAATGGAGAATTTGGATCATTCCTTGTAGCTGTAAGCTCCATAATGACTTGTATATCGTATGGTGTAAGATTTGGATTAGCATTACGTATTAAAGCGGCAATTCCTGCGATTGGTCCGACTGCATGACGATTATCTCCATGAGAAACCTCAAGAAGCTCATCATCATCGGAAGATGGATGAGGTATCATCGGATATCTTGCCATTTCTACAGGAAATTCATCAGGAAGACCAGAATTTGGAGAAGTAACAGAAATGCAAGCTCCGTTATTAGTATAGTATGTAGGAGAGCCTCTAACTGTTGAAGATCCGACTGTTATTGAATGTGGTGAGCATGTAGTTGCGTAATGATTTACATCTCCACCTAAATGACCGGAATTTCCTGCACTATTTACAATGACAATGTTATTTTTAGTAGCAGCTTCCTTCATCTTCTCCTGGAGTGCTGTATTTGGAAGATATGGCTTTGGTCCCATCATTAAAAACGGAATTGCCAAAACATCTGCATGCTTTGTCTTTTCAAAGAGGTATTTCTCCATATCTGTGTCTTTAACTAATTTCTGTGCGGTATCGAATGCAATGCACGAAACAGAAGAATCAGGAGCAGCTCCAACAATTCCAAAGTTATTTATGTTGGCAGCTGCTAGGCCCAAAACTGCTGTTCCGACCTGAGATTTCTGAGTACTTGTAAATGGATTGTTTAATTTCGTTATATAATTATATGAATTTTGATAATCAGCAGTTTCGTTAAAATCATGGTGTGCAAGTCTGCATCCACCTCCAACAACTGTAATATTATAGTTTTTGCCGGAATATCCCGCAGACCACGCTGGAATTACGTTCAAATCTTCTCCTTCGATCTGATTATTATAACCAGTGTTATGGAAGAAAAATTCAGCATTGTATCCATGATCTATGATAACATCATTGGATGTTTGCCTTGAAAATATAAAGAAAACAAAACAAAACATAAAATTTTGTCACTTTTGTTGTCACGTTTATTGTCTTTTGAGTTCTACAAATTCTCCTCCGCTTAATCTCTCAGACTTTAGTTCTGTATCAACACAAAATAGTGCTCGAAATGGTAAGCAAAATTTAAGTCCAAACTCATCTCCTAGGCGATCCACTGAAAAATTGCAACATATTCAATCTCCAAAGTTCAGAGAATTCACAAGATGTCCAGCGACACAACCACTTATTAATGCATATGGTGATATGTCTATTGCCATTCGAGAATTCTTAGTTTTTAATACGTCATCAATAATGTTTAAAGATTTTTCAGAAAAATTTGCAGTATTAACGAATATGTTCCAAGATTATTGCAATCAAACAGCAAGCGCGCTTGGTATGGTAAATAAAACACTTCAAATTCCATCAATTTTAGTAAATACATCCAAAAATTTACAGAAAATCATCGCTGAATTATTCAGTAGTTATGAATCGATTAAAAATGCAGGAAGTACCGTACTTTTTGATGTTGCCAAATCCGATTTCAAGAAATTACAAAATATTGTTAATGTTATCGAAAAATCAATATCTGATGAACATTTCTATGATGACTCTGTCGTAAATGGTCTTCCTAAGATCAAGAAAACACTCAAAAACATACATGAAAAAGCATTTTCTATTTTGAACGAAAAAACAAGCGAAGAAGAAGTCAAAAAGTTTAATGAAAGAGTTAAAGTATATATACGTGATTTTACGTCATTTATAGACAAAGATCTTCCTCCTTCTGTTTTTCAGAAAAATAAGAAGATAAAAATGAGAAGCGAAGTTACCTCTTATCTTGGAAACATTTCTAGTACTATAAACTCGTTCTCCCGCTATCCATTCCTTCTCGAACAAGTCGGAGAAACAATCAAAGTATTCACTACTCATATTGATGAAACTAATAAGACAATGAACATTTACTAGAACTTATTTTGTAATATTTATTGATAAACTACTTCATCTATTGTGTTTTTTACTCAAATTTAATTTTATTTAATTTTTATTTCACTTCCATTAAGGATGTCAATTTGGAAGAAAATGTTCGAATCCTGCGCGTCTCACTTTTTAAATTTTCCAAACGAAAAATTTATTCTCCTAAAACGAAAACAATTTTCCGAATTGACATCCTTACTTCCATGAGATAGAAATTTATATATTCATTTACTTGGTTATGCAATGATTGAATGATTTTTCTGAAGGGTACACTCCAACGATACTGTGAATTCAATTTTTAAATAGTTTACAACATTTGATCGTCATCATCTCCTTTTTTCATCTTATATCGGCGCGCGGCGAAGCCGCGCGCCGATAGATGCGCTATATATTTTTTTCGTGACTTACCTTTTTTTTCGTCGTCTTTAATTAAATCAAATTAGCTATCTAAATTTCATATTTTCGTGACTTACTTTTGACCATTTTCGGTTGCAATTTTTAATCGTTTTTAAGGGTCCACTGTAAAAATTGAAAGTCTCTCAAAATTGAGAGGCGATTTGCAAATAATCATTATCGTCTTTTTTCGAAAATCCACTTTTCCTAGTGTTCTGATTAATATTTTGTGAATGTAACAATAAAGTATATGTTTTAATAGGATGATAATATATTCTATCACTTCAAATCACATAAAAATTGCAAAATCAGCGAGTTTTATAAGAACATGATTTTTTCCTATTTTTTGCTTCTGGATGCATGTTTTGAAAAATAGATATTTTCGAATTTTGATTTTATTATAAGTATGAATTTTATATTAGGAATTTTTTGACCTATTTCCAATCATTAATTCCTAAGTTTTTCTAGGAATTAAATTGAGAAGAAATTAGGAAATTCGCTTTAATGCCATTACATACTAATATTGTGATGCATGTAGTTTATATTTAAAGAGGCTAATGTCGGAATATCGTGCATTTTATAAAAAATTCAAAGAATTGACAATTGGATAGCACAAATTTAATTCTCCAGACAAAGTATTATTGTTTATATATTCAAAACATTATCCTTAGTTTTGAAATGTTAGTAGTAGTATATGAAGGGTTGTGTGACTTTTTTTGTTACGTCTATATATAGATGAAGGTATATTTTCACATCTTCTATATATAGATGATATAAAAATTTTTTCTTACGTTTTTTAAGTCATGAATTCGTAAGAAAGCGCGACATTATTAAATAAATTAGTAATAAATATTATATACTAAACACATTTTAAAAAATTAATATTAATTTTAAAATAATTTATTTTTTTATCTTTTATAAAAGAAGCTATATATAGATGATGTCAGATATTCCGCGATTAATTAAACATTGTTTAAATCCTGAATGGAATCAATGGAGTCATAATCAAAGACCTCATAAACGAGTAAAAGAAATTAGAAATAAACTTCTTACGAAAAATTAAAACTTAGTTATGTTTATTATTTTATTTTTTTATTTTGTATGAAATGAGCGTCAAAACTAACAACGTTCAAAAATTAGGATTCACAAACGAGGAAATAAAGGATATATTAGAGGAGGTGGGTTATGAAGTTGATAAATATTATTTAAGAAATTGTAAAAAATTCGCGGAGTTATTAAATGATTTAGATTATGATGGAAAAATGAATAAAGATGATGTTATAAATTTCTTATATCCCACATCTGATTGGATTGAGTTTTTATTTTCAACCTGTTCATTAGTTGTTGAATCAAATATGAGTCAATACAATGAATTAATGAAGCCGCAAACGGCGGGGACTTTGTCCCATACATTAAATGAAAAACAGAAGGAAGCATTTAAAGAACTTCTAGATGAGGAATTCAATAAAGTGAATATCATAGGTTTTAATTCGGGAAAGTTTGATTTAAATTTAATTCTTCATGATTTAAACACTGCAAAATGGAAAATAAAATCAATGCTGGGTTCATCTTCACAATTTAAGCAAATCATTGTAAAGAAAACAAACGTTCCATATGAATTGAGATTTATTGACATCAGAAATTATATAGCGGGTGGGACATTAGACCAATTCACTCAAGATTTCGGAAACAATAAATCACGTGTTAAATCCTTTTTCCCTTATCAATTCATCACATGGGAAAATTACGAAGAAGAATTATATAAAGTGGAACCATTCACTCAAGATTCATTTTATTCAGCATTAACTCAAGAAACTATATCAGATAGTGATTATCAAATATATCTCAATGATGCTAAAAATTTTAAGAATATATTAGAATATTTTATTCATTATTGCAATAAAGATGTTGAAATTATGATTGACCCAATCGATAAAATTATTGAAGAAACATTTGTTTATAAAATTGACACGCTTCATAATCTTTCTTTATCATCGAATGCTTCAATGATTCGTTACGCTTTAGCATATAAAGACTTTAATCCTAATGAAAATATCCTGAGGAAGAGATAGAATCAAGTTTTGAATTAACGAAAAAGTATTGGAAATATAAAATTGAATCATATAAGAAACAAGATGAAAAAGCAGAAAGATATACTAAAAATAATGTTTCAATGGATGATTTTCAATACTATCACGATTTAATCCTTTCATCTAAATGCAAAATGTGTGGTAAAGCGTTTACATATGCAAATAAACCAACATTAGATAGAATCGATAATGAAAAACCACATACCAAAGAAAATTGTCAGTTAATGTTTGTTATTGCAATGTCGTAAAATCAATAAAGATGAAGATGTTCAACGTTTAAGAATCAATTTAAGAAATTATGCATTAAAAAATAATTTACCAATGACTTTAGATTCAGTTGAAGCTTATCACATTCTCCGTAATGGAATTACTGGTGGTCTATCAAATGTTCAACATCGTGTTAATCTTAAAGGAATCACGCACATTAATAAACTTTCATATAATCCAGAAACTAAAACTGTATCAAATGAGGACACTTCCAACATCATGACTCATTTCGTTGGTGTTGATTTTAATTCATTATATCCTTCATCATTTTCATCTAATCCTCATGATTTCATTCTATACTGACCATAAAATGTATATGCCGGGAAGATTGAATGGTGTTATCATTTGTGATACAGCAACAAAGAAAGCAAAAGCACTGGAATAATTAAGAAGAAAAATACTTTATTCGTGGCTGAAGTAAAGGGTCACATTGATGAAAAATACATTAATGATTACATAAACTTTTTACCGATAATAAGAAACTTAGATATTATCACAGATGAAAAAACAATTGGCAGTTTTATGTATAATTACATGAAATCAAACAATCTACCGGTTGACCAGAAACAGAGGAAATTAACTCAGTTAGCATCAACACACAACCAATATCAACCATTTTCTTCTTATTATCTTTGGTATCTAATAGACAGATTTCATTTTATCATTGATGACATTCAATCAATTTTAACATTTACTAAAAACTTGTTTATATGAATTTGCGAACAAATTTATGAACGAAAGACAAAGGCTGAATTAGAAGGAAATAAAGGAAAAGTTTATTTTGCAAGATTTCACTTAATGGATCATATGGTTACGATGCAATGAATACACAAAATTACGCAAAGACTAAAATAATGAATGCACAGAAGTCACGCGTTGCATGTATGTCAAATAAGTTTAAAAACATAAGAGAAATAGGTGAAGATACATATCAAGTGATGCTTAAAGATAGATTTTATAGATGTGATACATGTTTACAAGAGGCATTCTTCACTTTAGATAATGCTAAATACTGGTATTTGGTTTTCATTTATGATTTTATGTATAAATGCATGAATGTTAATCGTTTTCATTTCATTGAAGGTGATACTGATTCATCTTATTGGCAATCGCTGGCGACCAAATCTTCCTAACACTCAAGCATTTCAAGCAATTGTTACCGATAAACAATTTTATGATAAAAACATTTTCAAATTCGCACCATTTGATTTCTTCTGTTTTGATGAGAAATTTAAACCTAAATTAAAGAATAAAGCTGAAGAAAAAGCACATGAGAAGAAGTTATTGGGTTTAGCAATTGAGAAACAAGGTGATAACATGGTTGCTTTATGCCCTAAGTGTTATACATCATTCAACGGTTCAATTGATGGAAGTGATTTTAAAAAGATTGCACAAAAAATGAAAGGTGTTAGTTTACGACAAAATAAACAATTAACACCTAAAAATTATTTGGATATAATAAATGATAAAGTGATATTTGATGGTCAGAATATTAATTTACAACTTAAAAACGGGTCAATGACTCGCTTAACAATCGGTAAGACTGCATTAACAGGAGCACACACTAAGGCTGTATGTTGTGAAAATGGATGTTGTATGCCATTTATTTAATACAATTTAAAATTTTATTTTTAATGAAATGCCACAGAAGAGACAAAAGGAACCGTTAATGATGCGATTCAATATGTAAATAATGGTTTTGATACTATGATTCAAAGAGGTGGGCACCCTTAAACATTTATTTTATTTTTATATAAATGGATAACACAGATTTAAAAAATTTAATTTATGATTGAGTGGGGGACAAACTCGCCCATTGTCACTTTTTCATTAACCTTAAACTTGTAATTTTCATTATTTTTAATTAACCTTATTTCTTTCCCAATTCCTGATTTATTTTATTCACTTACTATTAAAAGTCACATTTTAATAAAATATAATAATTTATTTATAGCATTTTTTACTATACTGTAATAAAAAATTAATTATAATAAATTAAATGTTTATTAAATCAAATGTTTTCTTTGCAATAATATTTTTAATGTTGAGTAAACAATGTTGGGATCAAGTGTATCATTTTTCAGACCTTTCTGAACAGCTTCAAGCATACTGATGCATTCGACTTTTTTTAAATTGTGTCATTTCTTCGAAATCTCTTGTTGAAACATTTCCGGAATGATCCCACTATCAAATGGGATATTAAGATCTTTGAAACACCTTAATTGTGCGTAAACACGGTCT